CGGAATTAGCCGCCTCTGGTGATCATGGAGATCAGTGGCAGCTAGCTGAGCTAGGAGCTATTACGAACAACTTGTTGGCTCGCGGGCCACCGCATACATTTGCTTGTTGACCTCACTCCATCGTCCAGGATGGCCTCTCTCATTACACTTGTGCGCAACAGTACGCCTCCGTCGCTTAGTTCCCTGTGACCGATACTCAACCGCTCTGCAGAGTTCTTAGAGGCGTTGCGATCCGTCAAACCGCCCTCGGGATGGAAGATTCTCGTGGTCGACGCACACTCGCAGGCGCTCTTGGGCGCCGTCCTCAAGCAGTTTGATATCCTCGCTGAACATGTCACTTGTGCGTCAGTCGCCAGCCTAGGGGTGTCTTTACTCATAGTTGGCTATATCTTCCCCCAGTGATCGAATCCATTTCTAATTACCGAGAGGCTCAGCCTGACTTCGAGGCCATGTATATGCTCATGCCCACGACCCAGAACGTGGAACGTGTCATCGCCGACTTCACGAACCGCAAACAGTACGCTGCGGCCCATTTATTCTTCCTTGAGGGTGATTTCATGTGGTCATGATACCCTTTTGAATGCTGTCTGATCATTGTGTTTTGCTAAGGCCTCCCGGAACAGCTCTTCGAGCGTTTGACGTCATCTCCTGCAGAACCACATCTGCAAGCTCTAAAAGAATTGTTCTTGAATTTCAATGGTATTTCTCAAAATTTATGCCCATGAACCGTTCCCCTCAACCCTGTTGCCATAGCCATCGAGGCGCAGGCGTTCTCCTTGCAGGAACCAAGTTATTTCTTCAGTATGTACAGTCCACCTCGAACGGAAGCAGCATATAAGCTCGCGCGTGTCCGGTTAGAAGAGGATCTGCGCTTTACTAGTAGGACGGTATGCTTCCTTCGGTCGTCAAGCCTTAATTCGTTGCTAATATTCTATTCCAAGATTGTCAACATATGCGTTTCCCTAAACGAATTCCCATATATCCGTTACTACATGCCTTCTACACATCTCCCTCTCGGGCCATTGAAGCCTGTCGCTCAGAACCGCCCTCCGCCGCCACCAGAGGGATCCAGCCGATGGCGAACAAACCTTGCCCGCGGCGCCGATGCACGAGCATACGAATCTGTTGAGACTGATTTCGTGACCAAACTTCTAGCATTTATGGTCCAGAGCGGTTTGGAAGAATATAAGAAGGCAAATCCTGATTTCGGAGTATGTGCCTCTGCAATTCACGAAATACACGCATCTAAGTATACTCTTCAGAAAGTCGACCCGGCACGTCCAAGAGCCACTCTGTTGATAACTGATAGGTCCATGGATTTGCAAGCCCCCTTTATCCATGAGTTTACCTATCAAGCAATGGCAATGACCTTTTGCCCATCGAGGATGGATCGCGATACTCGTTCGTCATCAATTCTTTCTTCAAGCAGCGATACTCACGATCTTGGGCAGATATAAATTTCAATCATCTTTGGGCGCGTATGAAGACAAGACCGCCATATTGTCAGATGCAGATACTGTGTGGACTGCCGTCCGACACCTTCATATGCGCGAAGCTATCGACAAGTTGATGCTCGACTTCAATAAATTCTTAGAAGAAAACGCCGTTTTCAAGGGGTGAATCCTCATTTCCACTCGCCCTCTGAATCATTATCTGACCAATAATTTGATGGATAGCGAAGGTGCAGCTAATCTTAACGATATGAAAGACATGCTGGCCAGTCTCCCGCAATATCAAGAGCAACGAGAGAAGGTGCGCTATTATAGATGAAAATACTCAGGCTTATTTATTTTATCGGCAGTTCTCGCTACACCTCAGTATGGCACAAGATTGTATGGAATTGTTTGAGAAGGCGAAGCTTTCTGATCTGGCATCCGTCGAACAGGTATGGATCCCATCCATTTACTCAGTTTCTTATGTTAAAACGTGGCTGTAAAGTGTTGTGCAACTGGCCTAACGGCCGAAGGGAAAACGCCAAAGGGTCTTGTAGAAGAAATGGTTCCCCTCCTTGATAGTAGGGACGTTCTGTAAGTTACGATCATTAACAGAACATAACGATTTCACTAACCTTTCATCTTCTGGAAGGAACATGCGCAAAGTTCGAATCATCGCGTTGTATATCCAATATCGCGATGGAGTTCCAGACGAAGATCGCCGCGACTGTATCAACATGCAAGATTAACACTTGCTGAACAAGACGCTGTTAACGCGCTTGTGCACTTTGGTGTCCGGATTAGCAGAGTGCGTAATACTGTATCTTACAATAAACCCTATCTTACCTTTCAACAGGGCCCAACGACAAAGACACCAAGAAGAAGATAAAGCAGAAAGTGAATCCAGACGAATACGAACTTTCACGCTTTAAGCCTGCCATAAAGACCATTGTCGAAGTGATCGCGCCTTAAATGCAGCCATGAATGATTTGCTGACAACATGTCTACAGGAGCAAATTGCCGAAAAATTAGATGCTACACTCTTCCCATATGTCAAAGAGGCGCCTTCAGCAATGCCTCTTTCTCCACGCTCTCCTCCGCCGCAGACAACATCACTTCGCAGCCAGAAACCAGCATGGCATAGGGCACCTAAAGTCAATGCTGCCGCTGATAATCGCCAACGATTATTAGTATTTGTGGCTGGTGGCATGACCTATTCGGAGATGCGAGAAACTTATCAGCTATCAAACTCCTTGCAAAAAGACATTTATATTGGTGAGCTTATTGGACAGGAGTATAGCTGAATCATGGTTTACGATCAAAACAGGATCAACACACGTCATTACTCCCAAAGGATTTATCGACGACCTCAAAGTCCTCGACCTTGGAGGCGCAGGATCGAAGGCGATACCTAATGGTCTGAGAGATATGCGAGGAGAGCCCAAGTCAGCCCAAGAATTGTACGATGAGAAATACTATGTCAAAGATGCTCCTCCGCCTCAGCGACAACCACCACCATCGAAGAATCTTGCTCCTCGTGCAGAGAAACTGCTCCCATTCAGTTATCGCCCGCCAACTCTTATCAAGGTTCTGTAATTCGACGACGCCTTCCGCTAAAGAGGATAAGAAGAAGAAGCGTGGGCTTTTCCGTTTTGGTTAAAGTTGCCTTAGCATATCCGAGATGTAATTATTATAGTTGGATTCTGATGTAATGTGGTTGATCATATACCTTTCACCTTTGGGATGGATTTTGTTTTGTGACCGCTGGCTGATGCTTGACAAGTTGCCCATGAAGAAAATATACAAATAACGGGAAAGGGTATGTACAGAATGACAGCTAAACCTATGTCGAATATTCCATCTTGGCTGTGAGGGGAGCAAAGATCAGATCTTCCATTGCAGTACTTAGTCATGAGCGAGAGTACTGACTTTCGTGCTTCTTGGCTTCGCCACCTTACGAGCAGCTTTCGTTAGATCCTCTTGGTTGATGTATTCTCGGTCGTCCCGGATGGCGAACATGCCAGCCTCAGTCACAACATTACGCAAATCAGCACCGTTGAATCCGTCAGACAGCTGCGTTTCGAGAAGATCAGTGGCTGAGACAGTAGAGTAATATGATACTAACTTTGACAATGGCCTCATAATCAATGTCACCGCCTTTGTTGACAGGAGCGGCATGAATTTTGAGAATTTCCAGGCGCGCTTGCTCATTTGGTAGGGGGACCTCGATTTTACGATCCAAGCGACCAGGGCGAAGGAGAGCAGGATCAAGTGTGTCGGGACGATTCGTAGCCATGATGAGTTTGGTTCTTCCTAGAGAATCAAATCCATCCATTTGATTCAATAGCTACATGGAACAAATAAATGAATAAAAAAAGAGTCAGAAAGGAAGCTAGGTATGCTTTAGAATATTAACATACCTCCATCAATGTACGTTGAATTTCACGATCAGCACTGGTACCCTCAGAAAAGCGGCGACCACCGATAGCATCAATCTCATCCATGAAAATGACACACGGCTCGTGGTCCCGCGCATATCCAAACATTTCTCGCACTACTCGTGCACTCTCTCCGATATACTTATCGACGATGGCTGACGAAACGACCTTCAAGAAATTGGTTTGTAGCGTTGCTGCTACTGCACGAGCCAACAGCGTTTTGCCCGTTCCCGGAGGTCCATACAGAAGAACGCCCTTGGGTGGTTTGATTCCAACACGAACGAAGAGTTCTGGATTCATCAGGGGGAGTTCAATGATCTAATCAAGGTCAGCGTAATGTATGGCATCCCAGTCTTGAGTGGAACATACCTCTCTTAGTTCTCGAACTTGTTCACCCAGTCCTCCAATTCCAGCAAATGATGCACCTCCAGGATCTTCTAGACTCATTTTGTATACCAAGGGATCAACTTCGCGGGGTAAATTCGCATGATCGTCAATGTCGTCATGTCAAGGGAAACGCGCGTTCCGGTCTTCAGCTTTGCTGCAGGAAGAGTGGGTCGATAGGAGACCACGTAGCGTGGTCCTGAAGATGCCTTCACGATGACTGATAATGAATGTTAGAATAGTCAACAAACCACGTAAGACTATCGTACATACACCGATCTGAGTCCAGCTGTTTCATGACCTCTCCAATAATCTGGCCAACGGATTGAACGGCCTTGATATCATCTTCTGTCTTTTCGTATGCCTTCTCCAGATCTTTGATTGAGAACCTGACTAGAGAAAATAAGATGTTGAGTTGGGGAATATCATTGATACCAGAGTAACACCAACGCTTTTTCAGGCTTTCGCTGCTTGTTTCGTGGTTGCGTAGTTTCTAGAACATTGTAAGTAAGGAAAAAAGGAGCTTGCAGAAATATCACCTACCTCTCTGTATGTCTTGAGAGCGTCCTTCTTTCGTTGATCCATAGCTCCTGAAGATGTTGAAGGTTGAACGTCCATGGTGAAATGAAGGAAGTGCTAAGCGATTGAGTTTGGACGCGTAAGTGCCATCTGACGCGTTCTCTTCCAAAACGGGTTGCCGCCATGTGCAGCGTATCAACTAAATCAAGCTGACTTTAATTTCATCGGCCTGATGGTCTAGTAGTATGATTCCTTGTTAGGGTGCATCCGCACACAATTCGAGGAGGTCCCGGGTTCAATTCCCGGTCAGGCCCTGAAAACGGAGTGTCGTTTTTTCATTTTTGAACTCTCAAAGTACGTTTTGAATTTTGAACTTTGAAGTGTTACTATCTAGGCCAGCTTTGATGCCCAAATCTAATAACCTATGAGGTCATCTATCTAGTACATAGATAGATCAACAGAGAATGTTGCGGTATCTTGTTGACGAAGAACGCCTTGTCAAATACGTAAGTATACATTCAACAAACAAAAAAGACCAACGATCATATATATTACAACATGGCCTATGTTATTCCTGCTGTTGGCCATCAATTGGGAACAGAAGACAACACAAGGTGTGAATGGTACAAAGGGAAGCAGGGCAAAACCAGTGAGTGGGTGCGATAGTTTTGTTGTACAGCAGATGGTAAGGTGATTGGGTTGCGATGAAGGGAAAACTGGAGGGTATGATATGATATGATATGATATCGAAAGGCTGTAGTGGGTATGGGTAATGGCGCGGCTTCCATAATAGTACATGCATGAGACAAGGTTATCAAGGGTATTATAGGTATAAAATGTAAAACAGTGCGAAAGAAAGCATAGGCGACATAGATAGGGATAAAAGATAGAAGCTATAAAGAAAAGACGAGGAGGTAATTTTTGGGGGGTGGAGGTTGGCAAAGAAACCAAAGGTCATGGTATCAATTTTGGGTTTGTCGCTGCTTGTTCATACTATGTGCGATTGTCGTGATTCATCAGGTGGCGGTAACAGTGAATCATCCAGCAAGTCAATAGGGGACGTAAAGTTTATTAGCTATAAAGTGGAAATTTAGAGTCGACCCATCAGCTATGAAATAAATTGTTCACTGTCGTTAAGAGTATGCTTACATATGGATGGAGGTGTGAAGGCATGCTTTCGCGGTGTGGATTGCTTGGCCCATGCCTTATATGACTTTGAGTATGCGCATCCTCAGACGTTGCTCTGCTCGCACTGCTTTCGGCACCTGGGACAGTGGAAATTACAACACCTTGATTGTTGTAAACAAACAGGGCATCGGAGTGCGGCCGCCGTCTCATAGCTGAAGACGACGATGGCATGAGCTCCAAATGACCATGTGCCGTACTCGGAGAGGGGAAGTCTTCTGGAGGTTCCCATACCGTGTCGTCGGAGCGCCCACCTGAATTTGGTCGTGACGGCGCTGCGGGCAATCCGTCTTGCCTGGGAGGCACAATTTATGATGGAAAGGCAATGTTGGTGAAGGCGCCATACCAAAGCTCTCTCCATCTGAGTCGCATCCAGGAGACATTTCACCCTCGGTCTCTCCTGAATGGCGCCGTCGCGCAGGACCCGAGTCCACAGTGTACATGGCGTGCTCTGGACTAATCTCGGGCGGGTCACCGGGAAAACGAAGTGCGTTCATGGACATCGCCGCCTCGGCTGATGTGCTAGGTGCTATGTTATAATAGCCTCGTTTAGGCGACGAGGGCTCCTGCTCGGGGTCAAAGTAATGTTGGGATGGTGAGATAACAGCAGCGGGAGCTTTGTCAATATTGGACGGAGGCGCAATAACCTTGGCTCTGTAGCCCGATTCTGTGATGATAGAACGAGGGAAAAAAATCTGAAAATGACGGTGTGAGCCAAGAACAACCGCTTTGCACAAGCAGATAGAAATGAGAACACGAACGAAAAGTGTGATAGCGGAGGAGATAAAGCATCCAATGCCTCCCATCATCAAAAGAAAATCTACCACCAAAGTCTCAGCATTGGTTCGGTCGAAAGATGATGCGACACATACCCACAGCAAATCTATCCGCGGTCAATAACAAATCAATCATGAGTTAGTGCTAGTTAGTGCAAAATCTTGAATGTATGACTTACGGATTTGCAATGATCGGATAGGGCTCATTGAGAGCGTCAATACCAATCATCAGGAGTGGGATCGTGAAGAGAAAGCGGAACATCACGCGAATACGCTGAAAACGTGCGACATGGAACCAACACCTTTGAATTCGGTGCTCAGCTTGAACCAGATAGAAGTTACTCACATTCAGCTGGTAGAAAGTTGACAACCGAACCACAACGTCAGGCTCCGCGCCACCTTCTTTGACGTAGACAATGAACCCCGGAAAGCGCGCGAGAACATAAAGGAAGAAGACTGTTGTTGTTGTTCCTGCAGATGCCCCTGCGAGAAAAATCCAGGACAATACCTACGTGCAAATGGATCATTCAGGGAAAACTTATCATGCATAAGTTCAGAATGCAGCTCACCCGGTCGATATCCCTCCTAGTAACCAGCGTAACCAATGGCATACCCAGCACTGCAACCATGCTCCCTGAATGAACAGTGAATTGGTGGACCATGGGTGAAAACCGGAACGGGCGTACCCAGATACCAAACCCTGAATTCCCAGCTCTCAAACCACTCCCGCTTTCCTGGGCCTTGATGCAGAAGGAACAGCCAGAAAGCAAGTTCTATTCCATTCAAATCAGTCGCTAGTTGATTGCAACGCGGATTCATCTAAAATACCTTCCAAGTGTGTTACTCTAGTCCCAGTATAATCGTATGAGCCTGGAAAGCTTATGGATAATCATAGAGGACTTACAATTCCAACGACCAACCAGCACTGAGCACAAAGTAAAGAGGGAGCAGCCAGCGCCTGTCGGGGAGCGCCCAGGCGCTTAATGGACGTGGAATAACTATGGTTTATTCAGTACATATTCCAAGCACAAGTCTCTTGAACTGACTTGAGCCATCTTCAAGTACGACAAAACCTGCGATATTTGGTTAAAAAGGGGATCACCAACAGTTTGCTCGAATGTATACCTGCTCTGAACTTGAAAACAGTCATCGCCACACCAAAAACGACGAGAAGGGGAAGAGTTCCTATATACGAGTACCTAATGGGTAGCACATGAATCAATGAGAATGCAGCATGCGGGTTGTCGGGACCTCATGGTTCGCAGATGGAAGAGTGGACATACGTCATAACTCGCTTGAAGGCCCCTGGCTGTCTCCCCGAATCCCATTTCAAACATTTGAATCGATCATATGCCCAGAGATGGAAAAGCAAGAAGGTAAAGAACTGTGGAGAAAGGACAGCAAGGTAGTAGAATGCGCAGGATGAGTTGATGTTGATCAAGCATGTTAGGGATCTCCAGGACTCACGATAGAGGACAGAATAGCCCAGAGCAGGAAGGCCGTAGGGGAACCGTTGCTCATGAAGAACCCAGAAGTTGCCAACGTCGAGGCGCGGCGGAGGGGATTGCGAAAGCCAGTAAAGAGACGACTAATAGTGAGAGCTAAAACTCGGCCGTTGCCACCATCAACCACTCTAATCCCCCACCCTGCCCCCACCCCTAATTGATTGTCAATTTGTCCGTCTCGTTTTAGAAATCTCTTCATTGCACCCGCAGAAGTGTTACACAGTGAATAAGTACAATCGTAAATTAACGTAAGGTTATCTAGGTCTGCAGCACTCGTCAAGAGCACTCAGATATGCAGGTAAATAAATGGGTATATATCGTGATGTCATACTATCCTGAGCGATACAAAGTTCAATGAAAGCCACAGCAACCGAAAGTAAACCTGACTTAAAATAAAAAAGCGTACGAATGATGATGGGTATCCGACACCTAGTTGGCATCTCGTTTGAAGTACGTGGGTTCTGCATGAGCGATGAAGGTTTTCCAAGCAGAGCGTGTAGCGGCTGGGAAGAGGTAAGTGGACTGAGTGGCACCCCCACCGCCGTTTCCGTAGTATATCGGGTCCGGTCCAGGTATTATGCCCGATAAAGATTGGTTTTCGCCACCAACAACAGAGACTGCACCAGTCCTACTAGTCACCAATGACCCAGTTGGATTGTTTCCAAGGACAAATTCACGCATAAATGTGAACGCCTGTATGAAAAAATTAGCAGAATAATGCTCCCAACTTTGGAGAGTCCTTACCGAGATTGGGGCATCCTGACCTACTAAATGCCCGGCATTGAGGAATAGTACATATTGCCAACCTCGTTCTTGATGAACAACACCTGCAAGTTTCCCTGCATCGTTGCTCCAAGGGGTAGATGGTTTGCGTGTAAATCCTTGGATGCCACCAAAAGTGGTATTTTGGATGGCGACTGATGGAAGAAAATAAGTTCAATAAAGAAGCCATCACGGAGCATTTATGGCCTTACGCTCTGTGCCTCGATGGGGGATAAGAGCATCATCGTTCCCAGAGAATAACATGATACCGACTCCTTTCTTAGTGGCATTGGCGGCAAGGTCATTGAAGATGTTGATTGACCTAGAGACAGTCAGCATTACAATCATAGAGCAACACTAAATAAGTGAGACACACATTGGGCCTTTATAACGTTGACGGGAAAGAAAACAACAAGTTCAGATTTACAAAATGGGTCATAACAGACAAGACGTACTGCCATCATTAGGATCTACATATCAGAGGCTTAGACAATGTGCATATTTAGGAAAGATACAAGGCGTACCAGCTCCGAAAGGGAAGTCGAACTGCATTTCCCAATCCTTCACTGTTGGCGCGTGGAAAGCAGCGCGTACGCGAGGATCTGGTCAAGAATGTAAATTTGAGACTAAGAGAGAAGCGGACATGAATCTTACCGTTCATAAAGACGCTGGCGTCTCTTGTCACCTTGGGGTTCAGTGCGTCCGGGATATCGTAGACCTATGGACAGAGTAAGATTAAGGCGGGCTAAGGGCGGTAGCAAAGAATGGGGCTAACGTTGAAGGATAGGCCAGGTTGATCGGTAAGATCTATAAGAAAGTTAGACTTAGGCCAAAGATTGCTGGTTCGTGGAGATACGTACTCCATGGGAAGGTATAGTTGAGGGCATAATCGATGAACATGTCCAACAGGAAACAACCGTACTGGAGCAAAAATGAGCAATGCATATCAGCATCAGCGGCAATATTCTTACCCAGGGATCAATGGTGCCATTGGCTCGCAGGGAAAGATCGCGCTTCCATATCTCTTTCTCGTACTCCCGATCCTCGCGTTTCCTTAGTGAGATTGATGAAGATTCGTCTGCAATG